AAAGGTGAAGAGCAAGATTTTATCTTCTTTGTGCCGTTGTCACGTAATTTTAAACCGCAAAATATTTGCTCATTTAAGTGGCATTCTTTTATCTTTTTTAAGTTTACAGTTTGTGTAAGCATATTTGGCCAACAAAACAGTGTTGATAAGAATCTTTAGGATGTAAGGAAAAACTGCATTTGACACTTATATGTTACATCTTGCAGTGCGAAATAAGATTTTTGGTATGTGCGAATAAGATTTTTGTTGCCTTTTTTTTGGCATAATAAGTAAAGAAAAAATAAAAAGGAAAAGTTAGGAAGAAAAGAAAGGTTCTTCAGTATTTTCAATTGAGATTGAGCATTAAATTTTTCTATATAAACTTTTAAAAACTGAGTTTTTTTGAAAAAAAGAAGCTGGAGAAATAACGGTAACAAAATTCCATCTTTACCAGTGGCAGATAAAATTTGTTAGTATTATCACGTATTATTATTACTCTTGTTTTAAAACGCGTTAATACCAAAATTTTCAGAAATTATGTGGCAGTGATATCACCATAAAATGGCTCTATAATAAGCTTATTGCTGTGTACAATGAAAATGCAAGTTTTCCTTCGTGGATTGCTGAACGACTTTCAACTACCCGTTATGATGGTAAGTATTTGATGCTTAATTTAACGCCATATTTGAGAATTTTCTTTCTCAAATTCTAGAAGAAAGCACTTAGTAGGTTAACCAAATCCGTATAGACAACATTGTTCTAATGACTATTTCAATGGTTCTAGGAATGCCTTTATCAAACATTATGAGAGTAACATTTCGATGGGAGGATGGCAATATGCCGCACAGCGTCATTGTAAAAACGCCAGCAAAAAGTACTCACAGTTTCGATAACGAAGACTACAGGCATTGGTTAACCGGGAGTTTATTTAAACGGTTCTCACTGTTTCTAGTCGTAAAGATTTCTTTCGGAAATGCGAGGTGATGCAAAAGTGTCCAGAAATCAGCACTAATCTTTGATCTTTTACAATGGGAATTTTACAATACATGATGAATTAACCCCTTTGTCTAGCTCAGGCCACCTTTCATATTTCAACTGTAAATGTTTGGACGATTCTTGTGGCGGTTACACTTTAAATGCTGAAATGAAATTGCAGATCCAAAATGAGTACATATGTGTATCCTAAAAATGATCCTGCAAGGGGACTTCCTCCAAGTAATTGGAGAGAAAGTAGTTTTCGGATGTCAGAGAAAAAACACCTCTCTGACAATTTTCAGTCAAATGCCTACAAATTTTGCGTTGATCACTCCTCGCAGAATAATTGTCAGTTTTTGATTTAAAAAACCTCAAACTTCCAATTTCAAAGATTGATGATACTTTTTCCTTACTCAAAAATTTACGTATGCCCTTAAAAATGGTCGTGTTAAAAAACTGTTCCAGAAAAAACGGCAGTAAATTGTCAGCCTCTAGAAGCTTTTGAATAGCCTTGCACATAGCTATTGTAACCGCGGCTAACTTGGTCTTGCCTTTCAGAGAGTGTGGCGCTTACGAATGGCTAAAGGAGCATAAGCCATTGCCAATAGCTCGTCCATTGTACATCAAGGTTTCCTAACTCGTTTGTGTTAGACTTTTCACTGCCAATATTTTATCTGATAAGAAAGGGGTTGGCTTTCTTGCGGGTAAACTTGGACGAGTTTCCAAAGCAGGATTAACAGATGGTTAGAAGAGATGGCAGGAAACGGTGCTGTCTGGAAAGGTAGAAATGAGGCTAAAAAGGGAAAAATAGATATATGCATTGTTTCGCATCACAGTTTGCTATAACTGGAAGTGAAAGTGCTGTAAAAAAGTGCAGGGAATCTTTAAAAAATTTACAATGTGTTTGCGGGTCTTAATGTAATCATAGGAATGCATCCAAGCAGCCCAACCGTTTGCTACCAGGCGAGTGTCCGGGCCGTGTAGTTCTCATTACTTTACGCATTTAATCTTTCGCCTTCTTATTGATTAAAAAGGCTTTTTTAACGTCATTTTTAAACTATTTTTCTTTCTGATAAACGACTGTTGGTTAATGGAAAATAATTTGAATTGCGCTACAAATCCTCTATTATACACAGTGGCGGTAAATTTATAACAAAAACACATAATTCAAAAATAATTATCCTGTTTACAAAATAAAATAGAACTACAGTCCCTGCGGAAAAATATGACTAAGGAGAGGAAGAATTTTAGTGAAAAAATTAACCTGTTGGTAAATCTTATATGAGAAAAACTTCAGTATGAGATAATGCTACAGGTCTTAATGTTTTGCGAACTGCTACTCCTAAAAGTTTGTAGTCTTGTAAGTATATTAATTTATCTACACAGTTAGAAAAACACTGTGACTTTGCAAATAAATTAATTTATTAATTTTATGTACAAAAAATGTCTTGAAGGTACATAAAAAAATCGCTTGAATGGTTTTTGAACTTGGTGGTTGTACGATGTCAAACCAGACGTCAGTGGCAAAGGATAACTAAAAAGGGAGTGGGCTCGTTGAGCTTGAGTTTCTAGAAATTTTAGTATTTTCAGTGTTTCCCAAATGTTATCGTTCGGCTCACGAACCTCCAATTTTGGACTTTCCATGAAATTTTTTTTACTCAACAGACGCTTAAGACGTAGTGCTTGTCAAAGATAAAAGACTGAAGGGCTAACCTGACTCAGATAAAGAAGAGTAAGTTATTGAGGAGATCTATCACTCAGATGTTATCTACAAATTAGGCAACAGTTATCCGTCTACTTTCCTACCCTTCCATATAATTTCTATATGGTAATAGACTTCTTTTTCTGAAATAATATTTTATAATATTGAATCTTGGAATAGTGTCTTGTCTTGCCTTTACCAAAACGGTAATCTTCTTTCGACGTCCCTCTCAGACCAAAACGCGCAAGGAAGGGGAGGGGGATGTTTGGGGGAGAAAATGTCAAAAATCTTGAAAAAACCTGCCACATTATGAAAGTCGGAAGATGACTTGAGGTCTATTAATTGTTTTTACGGTAGACAAATTGCCATCCTCACAGGCCTTTCGTTAAAGTGATTTTTTTGCTGCTCTTATGTTTACTCTAAAGTTTAAATGTCACAAAAAATTTCTTATTTCTTTGGCATCACTATGCTGATGACAAATTCGTGTTTTCTGCCCAGATGTCTCCAAGAAAGCAATAGTAGAAGTGATTTTTATATCTATTCTCAAAATCAGACCTCCTGTAACTTGGAATTATCGAGATCTTTCAAATTTCGTTTTATTTTTTCACATTTTTGCTTCTTTCACGAGGCATCTATTGCAAAAAAAAGTTGAAGAAGAATGTGGGAAAAAAAGGCAGGGACTTCTTTTGAGCATCGAAAAGGTTCTCCTTTATTCGTAAGGACCAACCCCTTTGATAACTTATCAAATTCTATCACCATTTTACTACAGAAAAACGCTGATGAAGAAGGTTGTGGAGTTTTGCTCCTGGAAGATATCATCGACAACAGAAATCGAAAAACTATTGGAGAAGGAATGACATTGGAAAATGTTAAAAACCTGATCAAATATCTAGCAAAACTTCATGCCCTATCACTTAGCGACAGTAAATTACTTCTGATTAAAATAAGGAGAGGGAAGTGTTAAAAATTTGGAAAAAACGATTTTGCTTGTTGCACTGAAGGGTGTGAACGTTTTATAACAAAAGATTTCACTAATCCTTCAATTTGCCTCTTGCGGAGTGCATTCATTTAGTATTTGAAGTAACATTCAAATGTCAGCTAGCCAGGACTAATTTGGAAGTTTATTTTGCTTGTAATAAACAAAGAAATTTAGTTACAGAACTTCTTTTTTCTGCACAGTGAATTAACGAATTCCAAGTAAATAAAAAATTTTTTTTGTAACTATTGTAAAACTTCTTTTTAAAGTTAGAATTATTTCAAACGTTGTAGGATAGGTGCTTGTCCAAATTAGGACATACACTTTCGGCACACTGATTTGACAGTCAGCTAGTTATATTTTGATGTAGTTTTAATAAACTAATTATTCACTTTTCACAACACAATTCATAAAAATATTTATTTCTGCTAAAATTGTTTATTTCAATTCTTTGCACTTTTAGTAGAATAAGAGAAGAAATTGCTGTCAAAAAAGGTAGTATAGATTTATTTTTGCTTTAACTATCAGCTAACAAGAAAAAAAATACATTATTTTCCTTTTTAATTAAAAAGCTTCGTGGACCGCAACAATTTCGCAGTTGTCGCCACTACATTTCAATTTCGTTGCTGAAAGATTTGATGATTTGAAGGTAAAATACATGAAAAACGTCGTCGACGAGAAAATTAAGGTATTTTTATAAGTCATTACGTAACTGAAATGCTGTTCGTCGACAATTTTAATACGTATGCATTTTAGGCAGTTGCGAAGTACGTTAATGCTGATTATATGTCCAAAGTAGTCTGTGATGAGCTAGTTACTTCTTTTGGGATGGGACTGGTATTGGTGCACGGGCAACCAATTACTAAAAATGTTTGGTTCAATTCCGACGATAGTATTGCAGCAGTTCTGAACTGGACTGGTATGATATAAATTTTTTCCTCATTTTTCTTTCCTGCTGGTCGTTAAAGTTCTTGATTAACCGTCAGATTTTTAACTGCAACGGAGAAGAACTGGACTAGTACTGACCCTACATTTATAGACATAAATTAAAAGTCGAAACAATCTAGAAGGAAAGTAAAACAAGTTTCAGAAGCTCATCCAGGCTGTTATGGTGAAGATTTAACCAAAGCAATATGCTGGAATTTGACACGAGATCTACGGCGAGATAATCTTGACGCTTTGCTTGAGCACTACCAAAAATGCTTTCTCGAATTCAGCCAAGGTTTTACTCACCAAAAGCTTCACTTTTCAGTTTAATTAGTGTTACTTCACTGTGTTAAGTAAAAAATGGCTGCGTCAGAAGCGACAAGCCAAAGGCAGCTTTATCTTCTAAAATACAGGAAATTGAAATTAATTGTAGTTAACAGTTTAACAGCTGAGTCATTTAACACTAGATTTGCTTTTGCGGCTGATGCTTTTGATTTTTTAAAATTCTTCACAGACAATAAATTCTGAAGTTTTATTTAAAAATCGAGCGATTTAACTTCAAAATGAAAATGTTTCTCTACGTAGTGCTTCATTATCATGTAGAGAAATTACCAAATCCCCTATGTAGCGATGACTACTTTGAGAGACGCTAATTAAGTAGTTTGCCAACGTAAATAAGTAAATTTAAGTTTATCTCTTGTTCCAAAATATCGTGGTAATGAAAATCTTACTGCAAAGACAGTTGAGACGCATTAAAAATAAATATTGCGCGAAAGGTTCGAAAAAACAAGCTTTTAAATCGAGGGGAAATGTCGGTAAAACTTTCTACCTGTAAAAAAGAATAGATTCTAGAGTAGAAAATGCGGCAGTTCAAATTTGGTCATAAATATATAATTCTACAATATTCTAACACTGGTTTACAGCTTTAGTAAGCATAGTCTCGTTAAAATTTTTGGTTGTAGTGTTATTTAGCCATTGCTTAAAAGTTTATATTAACTTTGTCTATTGATCAAGCTGCTAAAGGGTACAAATTGAACTTGCCAATTAAAGCGCAGCAACTCATTTTACGAGATTTGTCAGTCTTCATTTATTTTCTATGAAAATGTTAAAATCTAGTAGAAGTGAGTTTGAGCCATGGCAGCATTCACGATCTTCATTTCAAAAATTAAGTTTGCTTTGAAAGCAGAGCATAAAATAGAGCATGAAATTTGTTAGGCTTCCCACCAAGTGCTGGGAGGGAAGAGTCTTTGAAAAGCAACTTTTTCTTTTTATTCTTCCATACTTTCTTAACTGCTTCTTCTATCTCTCCTGTCAGGTTGCTTTCGTTTGAAAGAGACAAAGAAGAAGTGAATTTTAATAAAAATTATTATAGTAAGAACTTGTTTCCAGGAAAAATTAGTAGCAAAATTTATTTGTAGAACCAAATTTCACAAAATTGCAATTTTCGGTTTCACTGCTATGTTTACTTGGATACCTTAAAAGATTACAGAGCTGATGTTTTACAAAGGTACAGTAGGAGCATAGGAAGCGTGTGGTGAAAGTTTTTTTATGCAGCTTGATAGAACTGATAGCAAAATTAGCGGGCTCTTTTTCGCCAAAAATATCTGCTCATCCTTCAGCAAAAAGTTTTGCGTTTCTATCGTCGTAACTGTCGCAGCGATTAGATGTCACTGTAATATCAGTTTACTGCTTCTTCGTTTCCTGAAGTAAAATTTGAAAGTTTTAGTACGTGGATAAACACAATTTTCATTTGATCCTGGGGGCCTAGAATATCCTGAACCTTGCTGAGTTTCACCCCTATTTTTTTTCTGTATTGTGTAGCTGAAGCCGTCAATAACGTTCACAAACCGTCCTTCGTCTTCTCACAAATACACATAGATTTATAGCTGGGAAAATATAGAGCAAAACAAAAAATTTTCAACTAGTAGGACGATAATTTATAAGTGTACTTTAGCACGCGACGTTAACCGACAAAAGCTCTGCTCAGCAGCCCTTACTACTCTTGAGCAAAAGTGGCTTGACTTTGCTCATTTTCTACAGCATCAATATTATAAAACGCTAGAAAAAAAAAAAAAGATTTTCTGTAATACAGCAAACGTTTTATGATAGTGTTGTATTTTTTTTTTTGCACTTATCATGACTCTTAGAAACTAACTTCGAATGGCACAAAACTTGAGTTAGAAATATTTAATTTTCAGCTACATTATACTAATTTAAGATTTCGACTGTATTAACTGACTGTTTCCGCAAAGTGAGAATTGAACTTTTTTTCTAATGGGACAAGGGTAACTGTGTGAATGGCAAAAAAAATTTTTATTTTTACTAATTGTTCATAAGTAAGGAAACATAAAACTATGCACACAAGCTTACAACTCGTTCGTCAGACAGCAACTAATTGCTGAAGTCAATTTAATTGGTCGTGTTAAACAAAATTTAAATAGAATTTTTAGGAACGTTCACTCTTTAGCAATGCCATCACCAATTCCGTGAAAAACTAAGGTTTTAAGCTTTTGAAGAAAAACTTGTTTGTTATTGTCTTTCTCTTTTCTGCTCCCCTCTGGAACCGGCCTCTACTTTTTTTGATAGGAAGTTTTCTTTCTTTAGACTAGTCCAATTTATTTATTTGTGAAATTTCTTATTACATAATTAATGCTTGTCCTTCCTCTTTTTCAGCGGTGAGACACGTAACGTAGCGAATTATACTTTTCTCGTCAAATAAATATCACCATAAGGTTTATGTAACTAGTTAGGTGTTCTCACGTGCAAGATATTAACCTAATTAGTGTAGTAAGAGTATACTGTCTGTTAAAGATTACTTCCAAGCTTTTAACCGCCGCGAATTGTAAAAAAATCTATAAATAAAAAAACAGGTAGCTAACTTGACAGAAATCATTCAAAGCCAAGGTTTGCAGCGCCAGCCTGAAACTCATTAAGTTGGCATTTAGACTTAGTGGATTCTTACAGCTTCAGTAAAGCCAGAAATTTTTTTGCAACGATTTTTCATGCAATGCAAAACGGTCTATTCATTTTTGCTGATGTTTTACTTAGTCGATATTGCAGATACAAACGAATTGGATATTACGAAATTGAAGGCAGCCTATCTTCACTTTTTACCGGTTTCATTCTCGTCCTTACTTTCAGAAGTACCACAGACTGTGGCGGACAAACACTTAATGCAGGCTATTACTGAGCTAATAACAGGCCTCGTAGACGATGTCGTAAATGAAAATTAAAACTTCTATTCAGATAGATAAAGGCTTTAACCTCAGCGCATCCACACACACATTGATCACTTACCGCCAGCGAAACAGAAGTGACGACAAAAAACCGCACATACGAGTTACTGTAAGAGTTTGGTAACTTTTTCTGACAATTTATAATCTTTTAAAAGCTCAGCTACAAAAGAATAGGCGAAAACCGAGGAAAAGTTCATTACTCTCAACAAAGAGCAACTTGCATAAAAGGCAGTTCAACAAGAAGCTGCAGAAGAAAGTGACTAAGGAGGTTTTGAGAATAAGTGGGTTTGGCTAGCCTTCTACAGAAAGGTCGTCAAACAGAAGTTTTGCTAAAGAACCATAAAGCGATTTGCAGTTCTGCTTACTGGTGCATGTTTAGCAGAACTCTTGTGTCGACTACAATAACTCAACTTACGCGTGTTTCAATTAGGTATTTGCCAAACCTGTATAGCTACTATAAATCTCTCTATGGACTTACAGCTGTTCAAATCAAATCTCAACTTTCTAGTAAAGTTCACTTGTATTAAAATCCATTCGAAAACAATGTTGGTTAGAAGCTTCTTTTTATAAACCTTAGGCTATTGAGAAAAAGTACCAAAAAAGACTATTAATTCAGAACTTATTTGTCAATTCTGAGCCTTCTAGATTGTGGTCAAGTATGTTTACTACTGAAAAGGACGAGAGAGAGCTTTATTAAAACCTTCACGATTAATGGAACTGCATATAAATGAGATCACAAACTTTTGAACAAACATCTTTGCCCGACAATTTAAATAAAAGCAGAATCACTGCACTAACAATAACTTATAAGTTCCCTGCGAAAGAATGAAAAATTAATGCAATGATCAGAATAGCATAAATTGATACCAGTAGAAGAAAGAAAAAATTCCAAGAATTGGAATCAAATCCTGCGTGACGTGAACGGCAAACAAGGAAGAAAAAATTCTACCGGTGCAGTTAATGCTTAGACTTCACCCTTCTGTTTCCGCAAATAACGAAGTTTAAGATTGCTGCCAGCCCTTCACGGAACCATTCTTTTCACTTCGTTCTTCCGCAAAAGGAAGTGCAGTAATGAAAAGAGGTCTGTAAAGCAAAGAGTTATTTATTTTGAGTTAATAGCTTTATTGTAGGTTCCTACACTTTTCTTTCAGTAATCTCAGAAGCTCCGTTGCCAATAGAACTTCTGAACAATGTTTGGCTTGTCACAAACGACCAATGGGTTCTTAGCACTATTCAGATAAATTTCAGAATTACGTAATTAAACACAAAAACAGTGTACCTGTGTACAAACAGCGACCATTTGGTACAATACAAAAAAAAAAGACACATAAGTACAACAGTTATACGCTAAATACAGAAAATGTTGTTAACAAACTTATAACTGGTAAAGAGTCAGAATAATCTTTCTCACATTCAAAACTGCTTGTACACAAGCTAGTTGAACGACCTCTAGTTGTCAGACCTATTCATCTTTTACGATAACTCAAAATATTTGATTTAGAACTACAAAGCATGCGGCGACTTTGAAACTTTTCTGCCAGAAGGTTCAGTGACCTGCTAGTTGTAAAATGCTCCCTTCATTTACCCCTGCTTTAACTTTGTTGCGTCCTGGATTCAACCTAGCTTTGCGTGAGTTCCGAAATGTATCAGGAAAACCAAGTGAAGAAAAGGAAAGCTTTACTAACATACAACGAAAACTAACAGATTTGAAAGTATGTGAAAAGCAAATAAAGACAGAATTAGTCCCAATGAATGTGGGAACTAAAGTAATAGACTCAAGCAGAAGCAACCAAGCAATAAAGCGAAGAAGGCGCAGCTAGAATTGAACTAATCAGAACTCTCCCAATACTGGTTAACAGCTTATTTATAAGCGCTTCAGAGTGACCACAAATAGATCGGTGGCCACCTGATCTAAGACTACAACAGTACTAGAGGAAATGAACTTTGAGGTGGAAAATAGGTAACACCTAACAAACTTGTACGGATATTGCTGAGAAGCTTATTGTAAGATTGTTTCACCTTCAATGCTTCAGTAATAACAAATTTTAAAATCTTCATTTGTTCTATTTGTCGGTGAACATTTTTAGATAGAGACATCCTCTTTGCTCTTGCTTACATTGAACGTTTACCTTTCTTCTTATTGAATTTTTTACTGTTCTGCAATAATGTTCATCTGCTCCAGCATAACTATTTTATTTCGTCCTTCCCTGTACTAACTGAGGAACCGTTCAAGCCAAAATGCTTTTTTACCTCAAATGCAGGGAGAAGGGGCGCTTGAAATTAATAATTCCCACAAGCCACACAGCCTTAGTTGAATAGAACAAGCTTGTATAAAACGAGTTGGGGCAAAGTTCGCTCATCAAATTACTACGAAGCTTTTTGGTGTCCCATTAGCTCCGTCTAGTTAATCTTACGTTTTTGCTGGCTCGCCAGCTGCATATTTCACTACTTTTGTTTTAAAAAAAGGTCAGACAATGCGAGTATTTTCTGCGAAACATCACGAGTTTGTAAACAAACGCCAGTTTGACTTTAAAGCAGTGCAAGATTGAGCACATAATAACTGTTCGCTAGAACTTGTAAATTTTCTCACAAGTTTGCTTATCTGTGTCTTCGCTCAGACGACTCAAGGTGACTAGAACTTTGAACTTTTTCAGTCGTTTCCAGAAACAAGCAAGAGAATACGTTTGTTAAAAAACGATTCCGTTCCTGTGGTAACTGCTGGAACCGATATATTTTAATTGCAATGCTAACTGTGGTGTGAAGCTTTTTCCGGCGCATTCCGTTTCGGAGATATAAGGGGCCGCTGTTTAGGAAATCAATCTTGCTTGAGTATGCATCTTTTTGGAGTCTTTATGAAAGCCAGTTGAAACAACCTAATAGCAGTAGTTGCTATATTTTGGCAACAAAGGGGTGCCTTTCAGAAAGTAACAAAAGCAGGCAGGAAATTATCTTTTGTTTTCTTCTTTTCGGCAACGCAGATCAAAGTCAGAGTCTCACATGGAATCATGACTCACAATGTGCAGCTGGCAGCAATGGTGCTCTAAGGCTAATTCGTCACATTGTTCGCGACAGATATAGCTATGCAACTACTTCCACCTGAAAATGTTAGAAGATAAGATATCAAAGATAGGCAAATGACGGTGGTTGAGGAGGTTTGTAAGAAAACCAGTACTAGAATATTTTATTCCTTAGCTTTAAATGTTTGGTATTTGAGTCTGTGAGGCACCAAAAGTTAACGACATTGCCTAAAAGTAGCCATGCCATCTAAATGGTGGGAAACTTTCACAGTTCATAAACTTTCGAAGCGCACTGAACGTATTTAAGCAATCAAAATCAGAGTTCCAGCTGGATGAAAAATAATTATTCGTCAGGTAACATGTGTCTTGGAACAATGCGCATTTATCGCGCACTCAGTGCTCCGATAACTATGAGGCTTTATTCTGGCGTTGATAACGATGATAAATTCTACAGCATAAACTCTCCATTAAACCACATTTAAAATGCCGAAGTAGGAATTATTAACAGTTGTTTTTTTAATATTATCTTCATTTTTTGCTTTAAACGTATGAAGCTATAAACTATGCAGTCAAAACATATTCTAATAAAAAATTTGCTATGCGGAAGCTTTTCAACAGCTTACGCAACATAAGTTCCATCTCTGATTAAGTAACACAGATAGCATAAGAAAATTAGTTAATACATAGATTTGAAGAAGACTGGCACGCTACGACAGCACTTAAACACCAATTTTTCTGTAAAATTTCTAACACTGCGCACTGAAAAAAAAAAGTAGAAATTGCTGAAGACCATACCGTAGACTGGTGAAGGTAATTCCTTCCTAGCTACAACATATTGTTTTCAGTAAAGGCTTATTATTAGAGGATACATAAAAGTCAACTTTACTTTTCATTTATGCCTCAGTTTGTACCTGTTACGGTAATTATGAGAAACTGTCCCTCATCCACGTTACAAAAAACTCTGCCAATTCGCATCACAATTCCAGAAAATAAATTTTTTGCTTTTTGCTTACTAACACGAGATCAATTACAGTCAAACAGCAAAAGCCTAAGTCCAAGAAAATGCAGTTTGCCGCCACAGAAAAGTCAACCCCTGAAAAACTGAAAGTCGATTTCAGAGAACCACACAGAAAACAGATATTACAGATCAGTATAAACCGCAATTCTTGTATTCATTAAAAAAAGGAAAGGTTTTTAGGCAGAAAACGATAGGAGACTACAGTGTTCAAAATAAACAAAAATCTATAACGTGCTTCTCTCCACTAACACGTAAAATCACTGCGTTTTTCTCACGATATAGTCTGATAAAAATTTTGGCGAAGATACCGGAAAAAAATTTTGATTGAAATGGCACAATTAAATACAGAGTGGGAAAAACACTCTCAATTCGCGATCTTTTTCTGTAAAAAACGAAACTTTGTGGAAGACTTTTTCAAAAAAACTGATATTCTTCCACAAATTCGCGTCAACAAACTAAGAAACGTTCAGCGGCATTTTCCATAAAAGAACTTCTGCCGATATCATTTATCCCATTTATCACAAGAATTTGCAATGAAGAAGCTGCCGTGCCAACTCATGCGAGCGTATAACGTTGTTTATTTTCGAATGCAGATCTTTGGCACTTAAAAAAAAAGCGTTCTAACGATGCTATCGACATTGGGTTCTCCAGTGCTGGTAAGACGTTATAATCAAGAAGTGGTGTTCAAAAGTTAAGACAGCGAAGTTAGGCGAAGTGCAACTATATGAATGTTTATGCTTGTATGAATGCATATGAAAGGTTTAGATAACGAGAGTAACATTACAGATATTAACCCACAAGTTGTTGTTCAACCAAAATTAATAGCGATTTACAGCAACAAAAACTGAGTAGCTATAATGCGGGATATTGAAAACATGGGGAACATTGGGTGAAAAAAGAAACTGTATAGTACAAAGCTTGAATGCTTTCTTTGGCTCGCCATCATTGTGCATTCTTCCGCCAGAAAAGAAAAACTGTGGAATGGTTAACGGCAAATGTAGAGGTAAAGACGGGGCACCGGAAGACAGATGGAAGGTGATTGCAGTGGGTGGCAAGAAGCCTGTCAGTGCAACGGTTGCTGCTGCCGTAGTCGTCAAAGCCAGAGACACTGCTAGGCAATTTCGTATCGATCAGGAGCAGCAAGGACGGCCACATTGTTACACTTCATTGGTTAAGGCAAGATTTGTGTGATTTTTTTTGCCTTTTAACAAACAGTTTTCTCCCGTTAAATTTTTGGTGAAGAAGGAGGAATTGTTGAGGAAGACTAGTGCTTGACGTTTTTCATTTATTTCTCTTAATCTCCACCTTAAGATCGAGAAAAATTGTTGTTATAAGAAAGTCACTTTTTGAACTTGAAACCTTTTTGAAGTGGTTTGACTTTAGTTGCACAGGTTTATTAAGATGACCTGATCCTTTTAGTTCTAGTTTATCTAAGAAAGGGTACTGGAAACAAGCAATGGGAATGTATGAGGAAAACAGAAGACTGGAAAGAGAGGTTTGAGCGAGAAAACGGTGGGGAGGGGAGTGGAAGGGAAAGGAGGCTTGTCAGCCGTCTGAAATCATCAGAAATAGTCATCTATTCTTCTTTTGTTTGCCATTTCTTGTTATTTTGCAGTTCTTTTATTGCTTCCCGTTCATCATCGATCTTAACAGATAACTCGAGAAAGTTTTTTCCCAGTTTATTTTAATTTTTAAAACTCATTAAAAACAAAAACGAGAAAATCCTTTTTTCTTTTAAAATCATAGGCTTAAGTAAAGCCACTTTGAGTATTTCAATTACGTTGTTGTACGAACAAACAGTTGTTTGTCATTCAATGTTCTAATTTACCGTGTTTTTTTTTTTTTTTTTTTT